AGGGTCGAGTTGGAAGTTCCGTTGTGCGCCGGAGTGCGACAGCGAAGAGGCCGCCCCGAGGGCGTTGAAGATTGGACATCCCGAGGACGACGATCATGTGGCCTGCCCCAAGGGCGTTCCGTAGAAGGTTTCAGAAGACAAGAAACTACAGTACTGAAGGTCGAAGGGTAAAGGCACAGCTGGGCGTCGAGAAGACGTCACCTACGTGGGCTACCAAGTGACAAAAGTGGGGATACGGGGGCAGCTTGAGGGCGACAGACCTCCGCGGCAATTTGGAGAACCGCGTGGCTGCCGCATCCCAATAGAGCAAGGCCATCATGTACAAGTGGCGGGGACCGAAGTGCATTGAGAAAGTGACCAGCCCGAGGGTGAAGTGTTGGACGTCGAAAAGGCGTCAGCCAAGAAGATAAGATAAGCGTGGCGGGCGCTATATCCCAGCAGATTTCATTGAGGGGCAACGCGAGGGCACGGGGTTCTAAGAAACGAGGGCAAGATTATGGCGGGCCAAGAACATGGTAGCGTATTGGATAAGTGTGCCACCACCAGGTGGCGGGAAGACAAAAACAAGCAACAGAAAAGGGTGAGAGAGCACCGCAAAGATGGAGGCTGGAAGTGTACAAGACCAGAAAGGAAGCCTTTGGAGAAGTTGCGTGAAGAAGAGGCTGTGGAAAATGAATTGAAAAGCTGGCGTGGAAGACAAGCACGTTGGTGGACAACGGTGAACAAGATTGACCTATACGGGAGGCCACATAATTGGGAAGAATACGACCAGATGACCGCTTGTTACAAACAATGGAATGAGGCACGAGTGAAGAGAGAAGCTCGACAAAAAACCCAGGATATGGAAGACGGAGCTGACAGCTGCAAGCTTATGATAAATGAGAAACGGCAACGACCAAGCAATCTGCTCCAGTTTGAGGGAGCGTTGGGCGGGTCGAAGCTGCGAGTGCTGGTGATCAGTGGCACTACAACAAACCTTATTGATCAAGATTTCTGCAAGAAGAATGGCATCTACTGGGAAGAGAGCGACGAGATGCAAATGCTGCACATGGCAGATGGGTCACTGCAGAATGAACCCAAACGACAAGTGGACTCCTATGAGCTGCAAATCGACGAATTTATGTGCCAGCCTACGTTCCAAGTCACGAAGCTCGGACAACATGACGCAATTCTTGGGATGCCATGGCTGCAAAGGTTCAACCCCAAGATCAACTGGACGGCAAATACATTGCGAATCAAGGACGATACCAGAATCTGGCTGCTACATGGAATTGGAGATATCGACAAGAACACCAAGAAAACCAGCCAAACGACATCACCTGAAACGTGTCTGCCACAAGTGCTGAAGGAAGGGGAAGGAGTTCAGGCTGCCAACGTGCATCATGCAGACAAAGAAATACCCACAAGAGCCATCCAAGTCAACCACATCCAGAAGGTGCTGCGACAAGAGTTTTCTGAGGCTGTGAGTGACAGGACTATCAAGATTGACACCGAAAAGGAGACCAAAGCTCAACAGCGAGTTACTACATGATGACAAGCTGGCACAGCGGCAGGAAGTCGCTTGCATAATGGGTCAGCTCATGGTATCCTACAGCTGGAGAGAGTACATGAGACTTCTGGAAAGATGCAACATACAACTGAATATACAAGCTGCTGAAGCGGCAGGAGCAAATCAAGTGCAGCGACTACCAGAGCATATACTGAATGCCCTCAAACAAAAGACAGTCCCAAAAGTGAGGGGTGTCAACATGGCGATGGGAGGCAACGACGGGGCAACATACCACAAGTTTTGGACAAGAAACACATGGTGGGATCAGGATGCAAGCTGCAAGGCTGCGCTAGCGACCGTGATGACCAGCACACCAAAATCACGGATGATGCAACGGAGGGCAGTCACACGAACGGTGGCTATCTTTCCACCGTTGGCACTCCAATGGTTTGAGCCAGAACGGGGTAAATCATCAGACAATCGTGACTTCAATGGCAGTGAGGCTATTTGCAAATCTGCCAAGGAGAGCTACTATCAAAGTTCATCAAGAGGGAAGACAAGAACTCAAGGGTGCGCTCAGTTCACACAACGCTTGGCAAGAGGGGCAGGAACAACGTGTAAGCATGCAAGGGAAGACCGAGCTAAACCTCGCTGCCATTTCCTACTACGATGAAACGGTGGAGAACAATGACAAAACGATGATGATCGTTGACTACAAAGAGTGCCAAGTGCTGGGGATGCCTACAAGATATTGGGAAAGGTACAGCTCGAGAACGGTTGATGCCAGTGATGCCTTTGGAGCCATGCCAAGACAAAACTACAATGACCGTGTCAACTCTAAGGACAACCAACACCTAGGAGCTGTGCGATGTGATGTCCAAGAGAACGAACAAGAAATACAAGGGATGAGTAACCTAAGCAACAACCGTTGCAGCTGTGATGGCTTTGACGATCCTGACGACTTGACGACCTATTATACCAACTGCGAGAATGGAGCAAGAAGAATTATAGAGACGGGCCGAAGCTCTGACGAGTTGATGACCTGTTGTACCAACTGCGAAAGTGGAGCGAGAAGGATTATAGAGATGGACCGAAGCCTTGACGACTCTGACGACTCAACGACTGTGGGACAACAGCAAAAGAAACTACGCCCTCCCAAAGCTGAAATAAACACGGAAAGTGAAGAACCGACCCGCCATCAAGAAGCTGCCAAGATCCTTTGAGCTTACGTGGCGTACGACCAGCGGGATTGGGCTGAACATCTACCGATCATCGAATATGCCTACAACTCAGCTCAACATGCAAGTACCAAGGTGTCACCGTTTTTCCTGATGACGGGGCAGCATCCACGGGGACCTCTCGAGTCGATTGCGGATTCTGCAACCGAAGAACATCAGAACGAGTCAGCTACAACGATGGTAGCTCGAATGCAAGCCGATGCCACCCGAGCCCAACAGGCCATTCGAGAGGCACAGGAATATCAGAAGCAATACGCTGATAGACACCGACGAGAGGCTTCCTTCAACGTTGGAGATCGAGTGCTGCTGGATACTACGCACATTTCTGTAGGTTCAAGTGCGTAAGCTCGCTGAGCGATCCTGTGGCCCCATGAAGATTCTGGAGGTTATTTCTCCTTGGGTGTACAAGCTGGAGCTACCCCCTTCACTGAAGATTCACCCAGTTTTCCACGTGTCCAAGTTGCGGCCATATCATGATGATCGTGGATAGTTTGCACGTCCTGAACATGTCCAACCTTCTCCCATGGTGGTTGACGGACAAGCTGAATTTGAAGTCGAGCGAATAATTGACAAGCGGGCCCGAAGAATTGGACGAGCCAACCGAACAGAGTATCTCGTCAAGTGGAAGGGATACGATAACTAGAGAATACCTGGGAACCGCTGGCAAATCTGGTGATGGCTCGACAACTTGTGCAAGAATTCGAAGAGCGATCAACTACAGGGTGACAACACGAGCCGAGGACGCCTCGTAACAGGCCCGGAGGGATGTGAGGGCAACAATCAGCGTTTCAAAAGAATTACTAGTAGATGGGCGTCCAACCCCATGTTGGTGAAACACGATAGCTTCTGGGTCAGGCAGGAGCTGCGCTTAATGAGTTTGAGAACGTTTGCATAAAGGCTTAAGCGCTGTGGGAACCTTGGGACCAATGGCAATGCGGACGGAATACAAACATTTGAACACAAAGTTGGCGGGCATGCCAGAATTGGGGATGACTCACCAATTTCTGGCATGACCCTTGGGATTCCCGGGCGGGCACCTATAAATACGGGTGCACTCCGTCCATTTTGTAACCGAGAGTTTTCCCGTTCCTTGGGTCCCGAATTGGACCAACGGGCCCGGAGTTGCCGCCAAGGCTCCGTGCCCCTTACAGCTTCGCTAGACGTCATCGATGTGAACGGACGGACGCATGTAACACACTGTTGTGGGTTGAAACGAAGCTCCAAGAGGCGCAAGAGTGTGTGCAGCCTGTTGGTGCCCTTGCCTTCGATTTCTAAGCTGTTTTGGTGTTGCTCCACGTGCCGTTTCTCACCAACACACAACAGGGGACGGACGAATTTCTTGGTTGTTTCATACCCCCTGGCTGCAATGGTGTTCCATTGTTCCTTGCGAAAGCACAATTGAAAGCCTGGTGGACGTGATCTGGTGGCAATCCGCTGGATGGAGGTCTAATCGTCAGCATGATGGCGATAAATGAACTGTATTTGGATGAGGTTTAGATCAAGGGATGCGCATGAACAGCGGCATGATGGCTAGCAATGATCACATATACACCGAGATTCCATCTGTCTATTTGCTGAGATTGCTGTTTCCTTGTATTGGATTTTAGGTTCAGGTTACACCACCCACCACAAGACAGAGGGAGCAATTGGATGCTGTCCAAGCAAAATTCCAAGCCGATTAGCAGCGTGCTCTTGCTTTTTAATGCTTTTCGAACACCCTCGCTGTTCGAGAGGCTAGGCCATATCGACAGCAAATGAACCGCAAACGAATCGTTGCGGCTCATTATTGGGGCACTGCGTGGGTGAGTCAATCGTTCCACATGAGCCAGGTGGCCCCACTTCTTCCAAGGGGTGAAGAACAACTAGTCAGCTCCCAAATATTCTCACCGCAAAAAGGAGCTCTCAAGTCCTCACAAAGGATAACAACTCAGCCATGCCACAAATCTCTCGCAACACTTGCTTAGCCTGCAATGAACACCCCTGTTGATCAACGAGGAACAATCGCTGCACAGCACCACGGCTCCTGGACACGATCCAAGCCGAACGCTTCCAGGAGATATGTCATAAGCTGTGAGGAATGGATGGTCACACTTGCAAGTTACAGACGTCCAGTACCCCCTATCATTTCATGAATTTCATCTCAGCGAAAAAGCCATTATTTGGTACATTTTCAGGACAACTTCCCTCCAACCCCAACCCCACAACCTTCCGCCTCTACAGTGCCCCAATGTTGCAACACTATAAGAGATTGTCAGGCTTCCTGCTCCAACACACTACTGCTCTGGCCCTGTCATCCACATTCGCAGCCTACTGTCTCTCGGAATGCCAGATGCGTGGCTGCCAACTGTGTGCCCTCCCCCAAACGCTGCATCACCAACTTTGGCTTTAGGTGTGTGCATAGGTAGTCCCTCACAACCCCTTGCTTCTTTTGTACCCTGCATGACGTCGACGTTGTGATGCCCCTCTGGACCTGCACTATGCACATCTGTCTGCTGGTGGCTTCCACAACGCAGACTTTGCTGCTCACATCCACTCCACCTGCCAGTGCCGCAGTCAACAAGGGGCTGCCCATAGTCTGCAGTGCCTGCAGGCTCAGAAGCCAGCACGTCAGAATGGGGCTGCATATCGGTGGAACTCTGCACATCCTCTGTTGTAGCCTGATCGCTACCTTCAACGCCACTATCCACACTGCCAGCTGCTGAACTTCCAGGTCCAGGCGACACCATCCACCTCCTGAGTTTGCTTCCAATGGGCAGCCCAGACGTGGGACTCATAGGTCCACTGCATTCTCCCATACTATGGCCAGCTACCGATGCGACCTGCTGACGCCGTGCTGGGTGTGACAATGCCTGGCCTGTGGCAGCCCCACAGTCTTCATAGCCCCTCTCAATTGATGGTCCGCCCATCCTGCCAGGGCTCGCCGGAATGCCATTCCTGGCCGGATGTGGGATTCTGTGCACTGTTCTCGGATTGCCTTCTTTCTCAGTTCTGATTGGTGCATTCGTTTTTGGGCTGATCAGCTTCAGTGCCTTTGACTCACGTGTCACAACCAAGCCAGGGAAGTCCACATCAAGGTTTGCGGCTCCTTGGTCCTTGTGTTGCCTGCTGTTGACAGTGCCCAGCCCTGTGCCTTCAGGAATCGTTCTGCCTACAAATGCTGTTGTGTCTGTTGATCTGTTCTTGCCATTTATCCGTGTTCCACCTGTGTTTGGTATCTGCAGCAGTTCCTGATGGTGCGGGACTCCTCCAAGCGGATCAATGGGAACTGGTAGGTGGTACTGTTGGAACATGGCGCCATATGGGGGATTCTGCTGTGTCAACTCTTGTGGATAGTACTTGAGCTTGGAAGGGTCGTCAAGGTAAGGACCTGGCCTGGATACAGACAAAACCTGCTTGATGAAACAAGGCCACCGCTTTGGCAGTGCTGCAGTCACAAGCAGGTAATGCAACCACACCCCGGGCGATGCACAGGACTGTGGCAGCAGCACAAACGTCAAACTGACAACTGGACTTCACTGGCAAACAGTGATGTTCCTTGAGGTGTCCCCAATGCTCACAAGTGCAAAGGCCCAGGCAAGGATTTCCTGAGAATTTCCCAACGAGTCAACCCTACAACATTCAAGCAGTTGCCTCGCAACAGCCGATCGCAAAGTCAAGCAACCAACACCTCCTTTCTTGGGAGCAGTACCACAAAACATCAGCAAGCCATGAGAAAGACGTGTGGAAACAGAAGCACTGGCCTGCAACCTGCCCAGGCTCTCCTCAGGATGAACCTACAATTGCTGTCACCCCTGCTTCGCATATTCTTGTTCTTGCCCATCTGTGTAACCCCCCGGGCCGCCTTCAGTGACCCATAGTCCAGAAACGTGGGGCGCGGGACAGTGCAGCATCGAACATCGGCCATTCAAAGGGCTCCAACGCATCGCGGGCCACAGCACACACGCTGCCCAGCAACACGAAGGCATGGCAATATGCAACACGCCCAGCCTTCAGCAAATAAACTACTGTCTGTACGCCAGACCGCAGCACCGACGATGGCCCGCAGCGTCCCGGCCGCTGAATCAGACGGCAGAGTGAAAAGTGGGCCCCCACGTCGATCGGTGTGCATCGCCAACGTGCACAGAACCGCTAGGGCCCCAAGAGAAGCAGGATTGACCCCTGGGGCCGAGGCGACCGACAAACCGCGGGGCTGCGTCCTTCGAACAGCGCTTACCTAAAGGCATTGACGGGGGTCTGGGCGCAGGCGAACCGGTTGGGCAGCGCCATTCACGCGCGAGCTCCGCCCTCTCCCGAACGTCGACGCGCAAATTCCGGCAAGCAGCGGAGCCTGTGGACCCAGTCGCCGGTCCACGCCCTGTCAGCAGGACCCGCCATCAACATCTGCGCAGACGGAGCGCTCTCGCGCCCGACACAACTGCCCCAACGGCTCGCTTTGGGACTTCGCGCTGCTCTCCGGACATCGCCAAACAAGGCGCAACAACAACCTGACTGCCGACGGGCGCCCCTCTTGTTGCGAACAAAACCACCAGCAAGCAATCACACACGCTGCCCGCAAATCTACTGAGGGTTCCGGTCTCTGCGCCGCGACGTCGCGCGTGACTTCTTCGACGTCGTCCAGACCACAAGCCCACCTGCGCGGCGGGCAAAAGGGCGCCCTTCGATCAGCAGCAAGACCTCGCTGTCGTCCCTTCCAGTCGATGGCGCAGAAGAACTCTTTCCCTTGTCGACGCCGCGAGGTGGGCGCGCTGTCCAATGGGTGCCAGGGGGCGGGAACAGCCTCGAGGGTGCTCTATGTGCACAGGACAAATGCCCGAGAGCCCCGAGAACACGGCGTCCAGCCGCTCTTCCATCCACGCTGGTGATATGGTGGCCGGATAAAGATCCTGTGTGTGCAGCCCAAGGGTCCGGGCTGGGAGTACCCGGGAGGCAGCGACCCCAGGGCACCGGTCCGACATTAGGGAGAGTTGCAGCGCGTGGAGGAGTTTGCCAACAGGTCGGATTTCGGGGATGGCCAATTGAAAATATGATGGGCATCATATGATGGCATTACCGCCAGGCCCACCAAACTACAGTTCAGTGGCTGAGACTCTTCTCGGTTGGGGTTTCTGCAGATAACCCGCACTCGGTCAGCCGAGCCAACAGCCTCACTTGCATGATCTCGCAGGCAGCTTCGTTGAGATGGAAGCTATAGATAGGAGGAAATGCACGCCTGCAGTGAATGCCCAGCGAATGTACCAAGCATTATGACCACTACGTGGATGTTCACGCTGACGAGCTGATTGCGTTTTTGTGTGTGAATCTGTTTGACCTCAGGAAACACATTAAGCTTGCAAATGGGTTGTCCGCTATGGGAGAATGTGCTGCAGTGCTTTTGGTGGCTGGCTTCAAATGCGGATTCCAAAGAGTCGGTTTTTGGATTTCGAATGCGAGCTTGGTATTCAGTCTGCTGTTGTGTACCCATCCTTGTGCACAAGCCACATCTCCTTTAACAAGTTCTGAGTATTGAGAGCCTGCAGCTGGGGCCCATCAGCAATCGGTGTGGCACCAGTATCATCCCAATTTAGTCTGAATTATCTTGTCAGTGTTCAACAAGCATTTCTGAGTCTTGCTGCGGTGACTGTCAACAGGTTAAGCCCACAGATGTAGAATAGAGCACATTGTCCAAGGGGTTTGCTGCACAACATTTCAGGTCAAGTTCAGCGTAGTGCACCACACACTGTTCTGATTCTGATGAGACCTGTTGTTGAATGACAACAGTCCCGAAACAGCGGCCCTTTTTGGGGCTGTATCACACGTGGCCAATAGTTCAGGGGCACGCAGAAGTCGATATGCAAATCCTTTCTGATAATGGTAAAGAAATTTTCAGGAGGAATCCTTGGCAGCCAGCACTGGATAGACAGGTCGTGATTGGGCAGTTTCCAGCGAATGCGTCGGCTTGGACCTCTTTGGAAGTGAGCAAATGCACAGCTCACTTCTATTTTCCCTGGCTCTTGCAACTGATGTGCGCCACAAGTCCCATCGCACAGCACGGATGCTCTAGCGCTCACAAGCAGCTTTGCTGCTTCGCTGCTTCGCTTGTGCTTTGCTTCGCATTGAGTGCAGCGATAGGCTGCACTCATCACCACAGACAGGACAATGTGAGGTGGTATAGGAGGGGAGTTGTTCGTCAGGCAAAGGCCATGATTCCAGAACCATTCCAAAACAAAGTAGCTTCTGCAGCTGGGCGGCAAAGTCGGCGGAAGCGTGCGATGGGGCTGTGTCGCCTGGTCCCTGGATGAGATTCAATAACTGCCGGAAGTGCCAACGTATTCTCCGCATCTGCCTGTCTAATCAAGTCCTATCCAGGATATGTAGCGTGCGCCTTCAGAGCTGTTCCGCGACGACGGTGACTTCTCCTCCTTGCCCGGCCGTCCCCGCCGCGAACGGGTCGATGCTCGCGGCCAGCGGAACCTGGCCTCAACTACTGCTCCTCCCGCTGTAGGCAAGATTGCATTTCGCATTTGCGGGGAGGAGAAGATGTGACACCAACTCTGGGCGGCCGTTTACTATGCCGGCCTCACTCGGGAGTGATGCCATTGGCCCTGACAGTAACCGCGGCCACCACGCCCGGATGGCCTGGTGTAGGCGCGCAGCGACGCCGCCCGCGGGACTGCAGCTCGCCTTCGCCAGTCGTGCGCCGGTGCCGTCACCCCTTTAGCAGACATCCGATCGCCTGTCTTTTGCCATCCGCCTCAGGGGACCGCTCCAGGCTGGACGGGGCGGGATGCAGGCCTCGGTGAGTGTGGTGGTCACGCCCCTGTCCGTGCAGACAGCACCTCGACTTCCGCAGACGAGCCGCCGGGATCGCTCGCTCGTCCGCCCGCCCCAGCCTGCCTTGGGGTACCAAGCCCCCTGAAACGCGCGATTCGACGCGCCCAAACTGCCGACCCGGAGCGGGGCGCACCGCGGCGCAATCTCCCGGCCGCCCGCGCGCACGCGGCCGTGCGAACATCCGGGCGGGAAGGAGTCAACGGCCGCTGGCCAATGCGCTGACCCCCTGTACCCCGCTTGGCGCCATCCCCGACCCGATTTGCCAACCTTGCTGCCGCCTCCGTTGGGCGCAGGGCGAGGACGGTGGCTGCGTGCTGGAGGAGGACCCGCTGGCGTGGGTGGTGCGCGTGCCGGAGGGGCCCACGGTGAGCCCCGGCAAGGAGCAGTTCGCGCACCCCTACAGGTTCATCAGCGAGTACAAAGACGTCCTCGACCGGCACGGTGAGGCACCCCCTCCTTTCTGAGTAAGGCCATGGCGCGGACATCCGATTGTTTTGGTAGAGAATACGGGCGGGAAGAGGCTGAGGCGGAGGGGATGGCGGCCAAGGTAGGCGGGGTTTTGGATTTCCAGCCCGTTGGGGCTGGCCCTGACGGCGTCTGATTTTGGCATGGACGACCTCCGGGCTCCGCCCACAAGATGTGGGAAATGGTCAGCGGCATTCAACCAGGCCCCGTTGCGGGGTGTCATAAAATTGAAGGCGCCAGCGACCTGCCTGCGCGGGTGCCGCGTTGCTGGCTTTGACCTTAGTCCTGCACGCACGCGGTGCTTCGGGCGTCATCGCCCTGGACCCGGGGTTGGCTCGGTGGGGTGTTGGGATGTTGGACCGATGCCCATGCACTTCCAGCTGCCCGTCACGGCAGCGGCTGTGGCCCCCGGCCTGGCTGACCTCCCATGCTACTGAGGCCACCAATTGGAGCACAGCAGTTTAGGGAACCGGCGTGGTGACGCCTTGTGCGCCGCCCTGATGACTTTGAGGGTCCTGATGACTGTCCTTTGGCTTTGCGCTCGCAGGTGCAGTGAGGGTGCGACCGCCGGCGTCTTACACAGTTGGGACGATTGCGGCTGCGGTGAGTTGAGGGCGCACGGTGGCTGGACCCGCATGTGCTGGCGCACAGGCATGGGCACGGAGTTCATGTCAGGATCTGTGTGTGCTTGGTGACTAGTTTGACGATGGCATGCTGTCCACTGCAGATGTGCATCGGGCAGAGTATTCTTGGATCAGCAGCCGATGTGAAATTTGATGTCACGACCCGCACCATGGGGAGACAAGGCCAAACAACAACAGGGTGAGCTGCCTGTGCATAGGACTTGCAGTGGCACAGTTGAGAGCCTGCGTATGCTGTTGTGCGGGCTCTGTCAGGACACTCTTAGCTTGGGTGCTGTTCACGACCCAACAGGTATTTCTGCTTGTGCGTTTGCTCTTGTTCAAGAGGATTTTGACGCCCATGTGCCTGAGAGCACTGTTTGTGGACATCAACAGCAGCACCAAGTACCAGCACAGCTGAAACAACAAAACACAAGCCAGGACAATGTGCTGCCCCGCATTTGTGCCTGTGTCGCACTTCTGGGTACTCACATCTCTTTGCTGTTGCTGTCCAGCACGCACAATGGATGGCTGTTCATGCCTGAGAATCAGGGACTCATTTGATGGTGTCTGTGCAGGAAAGGGAACCTGAGGGATTTTTCTTGCGATGCACAAAGAATTTGTCTTCATTATTGTGGCACGAACACAGAGCCTCCACGAGAGGAATTTGAGGTGTGTATTGCTGGCATGCTCGCCCTTTCCAATTTGTCTGGGCCAAGCCAGCCCCAGCTGATCCAACTGTCCCAAAAAGATATACAAACTTGCACACCCACAGAGAACAGTCCTGTGCTTTTTGTTTTGGCAACAAGTGGGCTGGCTGTCAGCACACTCTTTGCATAGATGATGACTGGATGACAGAAATTGATCCAGCCACTTATCGTCTATCCACCGTTATGGCAAAGTTCGTGGTCACATATTGTGACAGCTGGTAGTGGCCCAACATTGGTCCAAGAATTGCTGTGGGTTCAATTGATACAAGACCAGGTATAGAATTGCAAGCATTGCAGCACACGGTTTTAACACTGTTGTCCACGGCTGGATGCTGTACCATCCTGATGGGGGCCCAGACTGCATATCCAATAGCCCAAAGACTGGAATACACAGTGCATTGATGCTGCCTGTGTGTTCTTTGGCAGCTGGCATCTCACTGGCTGCCCTTTGTGCTTTTTGTTTGCAGAGGATATTTTGGAGGAACATGACAATACCCCAGCACAATCCAGTAGAGTACAAGTTCACATCTTTGATACCAATGTCTGGATTCTCAAAGGTCCCAGGGCTGAAGAACTCTGCGAGAGAGTGGAACCTGTCGGTGGGTTACATTGTGCATGATGTTGCTGAAAATGCTTGTTTGGGGTCTCTGCATCTGTCGTTTGATTGCTTATGTTGCTGGAACAATGTCGGGAAAGGCCTTGCAGAATCATGATTATAAAGATATATGTTCTATGCTGTTTAGTGTTGGATACTACAGGTCATTCTCCAATTTCTGCAGGGCAGCAATGGCAACGATTCTGCTAGTTCACTAGAGTCTACCTTTCCCGGCCTGTTGTGCATTCTGAAGAGGAAGGCTTGTGACACCCTGAGTGTGCCAGTGATGTTTGCTGAATGCACAATGAGCAGCTTATGAGTGTACACAAGTTGTGCCTGTCCCAGATCTAGCTGTTGCGCATCAGAGTTGCCTGCAGGTTTATGTTGAGCTGCATGTTTTGCCAGTAACATGTGCTTCCTGTAGTTGGATGCAGTATGGCTAGTTAGTCAGATTTTGCTGCTTGCAGCTGTGCCCCTCAACTGCTCAGTTTGTTGAGTTGCCATATTCTCACTGTTTGGCGTGTGGATTGGTGGTGCAGGCTGTTGCACAGGATAAGAAATCTTTCCTTCACAAGGTTGGACCATTACCAGAAACTCTTGACACACACCTCACCCTCCATTCTACATTCTCCCATGTGCCATGGAAAGTGCATGGGCTTGGCTTCATCCACTTCATGCACTCTGGCCCTGGGACCACCTGGTACTCAGTGCCACCCAGCGGGCTTGTAAGATTTCGAGAAGTCCTTAAGATTTACAAGGATAGAGCTATGCCGCTTGACAAGCTCATGGATGAAGGTAAGCAGAGTGAGGGGTGATTCAGTCAGAGCCTGGCTTGGCATGTGTGCATGCTGTTGCCCAAGGGGTCAAAGGGCAATGATTCGGTGTGTTCTGACACATAGTGCATGATAGTGCATTCGATGAGCGTTGATGCTTGTGGCTTGAGCATCGGCTGTTTGTGCTCTGGGCAGAGAACACCCTGATCCCGGAACAAATCACAGCAAAGAGCCACGGCAACAGTTCCAGTGTGGACAAATAACTTGACACACTACATGAATATCACAGGCTTACTCCAGCTGCAGGGACTGCTGGAAGGTCTCTGTAATGCACTTTGGCCTCCAATTGTCAGTTTGATCCTGTTTGGTTTCTTGGACAGTTTGGCATCTTGCTGTTTGCTGCTGTTGCGGGAGACCACTAGATTGGTGCCAGGGTGGACATACAGGAGCAAAACACTAGGACAACTAAACTTTGTTTCGATGCCACCGCAGTGCCACTGTTCCAAATGTTCAGCCGACATCCACAAGATGGATGTTGTGCAGTGAATGCATGTGAGCCAGGGCTGCCGTTGCTGAGCTTTTTGTGCCCTGCGGTTTTGCAGGTGTTCCTGTATACAAGATTCACCAAAGAGGCGGTGAATTCGTTGTTGTGTCTCCATCCAGTTATCACTTCATGATAAGCCATGGAACTATGACATTGGAGTCTGTCGCAGTTGGTCACAAGGAGTGGCTTCCAGAAGCATACAAGTTCTACATGGACCTTTGCATCAAAGATCAACTAATTTTCCCAAATGAACGGCTCCCTTGGGAGTACATTATGAGCAAGGCAACAGATAAATGTGAGTCATGAGCGAGCTGCTGTGGGCATCTGAATATCCAGATTCAGTGTGCATAATCCATGATTTTGTTGTGCATGACTTGTTGTTAGCACCAACCCAACAGCAAGTGCTTGTTTGCCTGGTGCGCCACCCATGTCACTTCTCCATCCTCACCAGAAAGGAGCACATGCTGCAGCATGGGACAACATTCTCCCATGCTACTGCGCTATGCCAAAGCACCTTAATTTGCATATGGGCTGTTGAGTTGTCAGTCAACCTATGCTCATTCATGAGTGTTTACAGTTCTGCAAATGGCAGCAATGCTGTGGCACTTGTTGTGAGCTTGATTTTAGATCTTCCCCCAAAATGGCACAATTCCGCACCTCCAGTAGCAACTTTTAGAATACAACCAGTGGACACCTAAATCTGTTGCATTTTTCATGGAATTTTTGCTGCCGCTTGTGTGCTTTGCTTCTGGGTGTCATACAGTGTCCTGTGACACTGTGCCAAGGCACTGCCTGAAATGTTGGCACTTGTGCTGGTGTCTTGTGCAGGTAAAGGGCAGCCTGTTTTGAAAATGTCACCCCCTCGGCAATGTGCCTGTATGGCCAACCTACCCTTCCAGTGTCCGCCACTAGGAATTGCACATAAATGCTAGCCAAGGGGCACAAGCAAACAATGCCACCACAGGCATACATGTTTCTGGGTGCTGAGATAGCTGAATTTGTTGTCACGGCATTCTCTAGATTTCTGCAGGTGTAAATACACAGCAACTTGTGCATTCCTGTACAGGAATACTTCTATACGTGTGTGATGGCCACGCATGAAACACTTGTTGACAGTATTTTGATGGTGCACAGCAGCAAGCACTATTGCTGTGTTCAGGTCATCTTGGCAGTGAGCCAATCTTGCCACTGTCCAACTTTGAACTTCTGATATTGGTTGCTAACACGTGGGATGTGTGCTTTGGTTCCAGTGCACAGATTGTCACCTCAGTGTATTGCCGGGGTGAAGCGCATAAAGGCCCTGCTGCTTGCCAGGATAGGCCTGCTGCTCATGAAGGCTGAAAAGCATGGGCTGGTATTTCAAAAGTTCCCGCTCACAACTGCAAAAGGATTCAGAGGTCTTAAATGCTGCAAGTGCAGAAACAGCTGCTTTCTGGCTGGAGTGGTGCCAGAGTCTGAGTCGAAGTTGGCAAATGTGGTGTGCCTGAGATGCACATTTCCCAAGAAGAAAGGCTACAAGAGGCATGGGAGGGGTGCTGTGCTGGTCAGTGCCAACTTGCGGCCGGATGATGGCCTTTCAAGGGAAGCATGTGTGCGCAGCGGACCTTGTGAGACAGGGTTCAATTTTGTGACAAAGCTTGTGGAGAGGCTCTATGGGCCGGAACTGGACAGCGACAACTCTAAGAAAAGGAAAATCGAGGAACAAGATGGCAGGAATGGTACTCTTTGCCGCAAAATCACACGGGTGGTGTTCCGTGTACCACAGCTGCCCCAAAACGCGAATGCGAATACTGGTCCTGAAAGGTCAAAAGGCCTGGTCTCGGGCTTGGCCTCCAGCAGTGGTGCTGCTCCAAATGGCAGCGACCCATCAGCAAACCTGGTGTTGGCTGCAGCCAGGCTCCCAATGCCATCCCAAGCCAGGGATTCACGGAAATGTGACGATGTTCAGTGTTTGCCTGGGCTTCCAGCAAGTGACACGTATGGTCAGGAGCTGTCAGATGTTGACACTGCAATGCATGCAGTGGACGAAGCAGTGGAAGCTTCTATCGCTGGTGTGCTGGATGCTGTTTGTGAGCGCCACGATGCTGAACCTGAAGACATGGGTTGTGTTGAGGACAGCGCCATGCCAGACACAGATTGTCAGCCACTGACGGAATGGGGAAGGACTGGCAAGGGTGGAATATCTGACAGTTGTGGTCAAAGCCTGGCAGTGGAGGCAACAGTGCTGGAGGACACAGGGCACAGACAGTTCGATGGAGCAGCTGTACGCCAGATAGGTGCATCACAGACAGACGACATTGGTGCACTGAAATCTGTAGGACCTCATGTGCCCTCTTGCCAACAGACTGCTGTCCCTCAAGAGAAGCTTGAATCGAACACCGATGTTCTGTTGCCAGTCAAAGCAGTGACTGGCGAAGCTATGCCCAGCAGCGGCCACCTCAGTGACATGGAAGCTGGACACCCGAGCACGCTGTCATCGCACATGGTTGATATGTCGCATGAACTGTGCTCAGTGTCGGACGATGCACCTGCAGATCCAGCGCCTGTTACCAAGGCAGCAATGGAGGATTCAGAATATGGCTCGCCTTCACCTGGTTTGTCTAACATACCATCCAGGACTCGCATGAATGAGGATTCCAATGCAGGCATGGAAGGGACACCTTGCCAGGGGCCAGTGAGACACGTGCAGCACAATGTCAAAGGGACTCCTGACACTGAAGAGCATTGTCAAACAGCAGGGACCATTGTTTCACCACCATGCTGCGAATCTGCCAAAGGTGGTGTGTGCAGGCCCCACAACTGTCTGTCGTCTCCCAGCGCATCCAGGACACCATGTCATTTGTTGCAGACACCTTTCAAGGCATTGGAAGAGGTGGTTATGCCTGGATTAGATGGGCAGACAGAGTTGAGGCGCACTATTCTCACACATGAAGATTCTCCAGGAGAGAAGTATCTCCTTTTGGAACAACTTTTGGCATCCCTGTACCCCTCCAAGACACACCAACAAGAGAAGGACCTGTGGCAAAGGACTGCCGATGTGGCCAGGCGATTTGGTGTCAAAGTTGACCCCCCTGGATGGGGCTGGTACAATGACCGGATGGAGTACATACTGGCAGAGAGTGACGTCCTGGTTCTGCATGCTGCTCTTGAAGGTTTTCCTCACCAAGAGCAGAAGAGGCTGCGGCATTTTGTGGACGGGGTGTGGTTTGACAGTAGCGACTTGATGGACGAACAGCAGCTGATGGGATGGGTTGGGCGGTTTGTCCCGCTCATACATGACACCATATAGACACAGAAGATATTGCCTTCGTATTGATTAGATGTTTGCTTGCTCTGGGTTGTTAGCTTCAATTTTCTAGGCAGGTTTCTGCATATGTAAGAGCAACCAAAGGTTTCGCAGAAGCCGTGCACCAGTGCAGGTGTGTGTCTGGGATCCGGCCACGTGGGCTCGACTTCGGCTGCAGTACACAAGTGCCGTGGAATTTGCTTGGTGGCCCAAGCGAGGTCACCAAACTGTGGCTGTCATGTCGGGGCGAGTTGAGAGCGAGGGAAAGTCAGAACTTGCTCAAGTCCCATTCAGATATGCCATCAGCAGATGCATTGTTGGCCACACCTCGTGCCATGGGTGGCTTGCACTGCTGTCGCTCGCAGTGTCGCTCAGGCCCTGGCTCGGCTTCTCCTGGAAGCGGCGTTCAGAACATCAGACCCACGGTGCCCGTCGCGCTTCGTGGATTTCCCTCGTGCCCAGAGGAAGTTGTGGAGGCTCCTGATGTGAAATTCGTGCCTTTGTCAAACCTGGGAAGACAGGCAACGGCACCCCTTTTTCTTCCCGATTCCAGACTGTTTTATTACATTTCAGTGTCCAGGCAACAGCAGTCTTATGTGTCGTCCAGACGATCTCAAGCCATCTCACCGATTGCCGGTGCACCGTCCACTGACCGCTGTCTCGCCATTTCCCAAGCAACGCCACAGTTCAAGCCGTCGCACTGGTCACGCAGCTTGAGCGATAAGAGCATCGAACACCATCACTCTCCCTCAACACACAAATGGCATCCAACTGCGTCATACCTTCATCTTCGTCACACTTTGCCAACCGAATCGCCTTCGACATCTTTGCAGCTCGCGACCTTGCACAGTGTTGACAATGTCGAATCTCCACAGAATCGCCCTTGCTGCCATTGACAACTTGAGAGATTTTTGAATCCACATGATTCGAATCTCTTCTGTGCCACTTCCCGATTCACCACACATGCCTCACATAATGGCTATCAAATCATTACAGTAGTCACAATGCAACTCGCAGCCCTAATGACCATGTTATTAGCACGTGGGCTGTTTAAAACTTATCCAACTCATTGTCGAAATTGCGAAATTGAATACCTAGTCAGGGTAGCAGCACGCAATTTGCTTATCAAAACAATTGCGTTTGGTGCTGGGGACCACTTCGTTTTGCACCCATTTGCTCGAAGTAGGAACACATCTCTTACTGCAGGTGTCCCCATGCCACATGCGACATGCCCCCTGTTGCATCTTGATAATGTATTTAACGTCTGCGCACCCATCCTATCTCGTGCGTCAAATTCGCGCAGTAACATTTGCGGTGAGTTTTACAAATGCATTTGAGCGATAGCCACGGCGTCAGTGTGTTGAAGCAGTCGAAGTGGCACCATCAGGCCACCTGGACCGTTCGTTGCTGGATGATGACTGCCTTCCCTATTTTGTCGCTGCCATCTGCAACTTGAACACTGAAGGCTTGTATCCATTTCATAGCAATGACGTAGTTTTCTGGCTTCAGGGTCTATATCCCTTTCCCCCGTTATAGCGTCAATGTGACGTTAAGTGCGGCAAAACGCCACCCCCCCCTCCCCCTCCCTCTCATCCCTGACAATGCCAACAATCCTGCGATCGACGCTGCAGCCCCACGGCTTCAGCTGGCAGCAGGGTACTCCCTCTCCCTGATGGGCCATCTGCATGTGCAGCTCCACGCAACCGACTCCATCGCCGCTGTCCCTGAGCTCGGGCTCCGAAGTCCGTTGTGTGCTTTTATGCTTTTTCCAGACATGATGACAATTGCAGGGACCCAAAAGGATCAAACAAAAAGCTTGCACTGGGTGCTGGGGTTGGGCTAAGTGGTACAGCTCTCTTTTTTCCAAATTTTGGGGTGTGAGAATTGAAGTGGGCACTGGTTTGAACGAATGCTCCCGCTATAGAAATTTGGTCTCGGAGATCTAATGTTTGCAATCAAAGCTGTTTTGGCGCCACCTTGCCCTCAAAGGCTGCTACACCCCTGCCCCAACAACTGGCCCGAGTCTGAAACGTCTGGAACTGCTGTACGGTCGAAAATTGAAGCGCCACTCGACCCCAGAATTCTGTTCAAATACAGATTCATGACTAAATAACCGTTCACTATTAAACCATCCACTCAACCCAAATCGGTGAGAAACAGCCCTACCAGAAGAGGTGGTCGGGAGGGTGCTGTGCACACAGGTAGAATCCAAATTCCTCCGCTTGCGGGATTTCCACTTAGTGACTTTGAATGCGCACGTGGCAATCCGTTCCAGTCTGCGTTTCGCTCGCACAGGCGAGTTCGCGCGCTGGCTCGCCGCTGTTCACGCCAAGCCTCCCCAGAGGGGAGCGCAAGATGGAAAGCCCAGAACGACAGAATTCTGGCCATCTACAGTTCTTCGACGCTCACTGCCATCTGCAGGTCGCAGCCACAAACGGACATTGCACTTGACCAGAATAATTTCACGCTTGGTGAATGCAGCTCGCTTGCTCGTTTTCACTTAGTTCCAAGCCCCTCCAGCGATGTTGATGCCTGTGCCATTGCGGTATTAGATGTGGCAATGCCCCCTGCAGATGTCGAATCACTGGAGTGCGCTTTACCAATGTTCTGAGTGTTCTGCATTAATCAGGATCCTCGTATTGTTGAAGAGGTGTCAGCAGTGATTGAGGAGGCACAGTCTGTTGGCGTTGATGGATTCAGTGTGAATGGCACAAGCGAAGCTGACTGGGACAAGGTACAGCAGCTGCAGCTTTTTGCACGACTGCATTAAGAGAATGCAACATGGCAAACGTGCTACTTCAAGCCTGTCTGCGACAATTTCTGGCAGGTTGCTCAACTGGAGGCCCGATTTCCAGATCTTGTGGTGCCAAACTATGGATTACACCCATGGTAAGACTGAGCATATGGTGGTTGTGTTCTCCATGGAGCAATGTCATGTCCCACTCCCCTGTGTAGATTTACCCAACAGTGGAGGACAGCCACCCACATCATCTTTGATTGTGTCTTAATGGGCACGTATCTCGTTGTGTCAATGCAGTCACAATGTCCGAGGACGTAGTGGCTGGGACTATTGGGTGAGGGGACCGTGGAAGCTTGTCAGTGAGGTACATAATGATGTCGGGGCAAGGACATCAACACTAACACAGCGCCATTGATGCAGCTTTACAGACCTACATCGGAAGTGTAGCTCCTGCTGTACCTGATGTAGCTTCTTCTAGGAGCCCACTGGATGGGCTGCCATAGTGCAACCTGCAGAGTGTTTAGCAGCAAGCCAGATCAAAAGCCTCCCTTGTGTGGGCAGAGGATATTAAGAGATTGCCAGCAACGGTGTTGTCTCAGTGTTCGCAGGAATTACTCAAGGTGATATTGATGGAAATGTCACCATGAAGTCTGCCAGGGACTGAGGCCTTGCCACTGTGAACGTGGGAATATCTGCACAAGAGAAATAAGTGGATCAGGAACCCACAAGAATTAAAACTCTAGTGGCCCATTCTAATGCTGGCAACAAGTGCAGAGCCAAAAACCAAAATCTTTTGGTTAACTTTGAAATGTCTGTTATGCCGCTGTATTGTCAGCTCGTAGCAACAAACTTGGCAGAAGAGTGCATCTCGATCTCCATTGTTAAGGTGTGCATGTAGCAGACGTTCTATCATTTGGAAAGTAGAGTTGACACCAAAACTAAGGCAATCTGGACGCGTCAGAAATAGGGGCAGTTTGTTGTCCAGTTTTAGGCCCAGACATCTTTGTAGGACAGACAGAATGTCAAGCTCATCTCCAACAGCTGACTCGTCACATCGACGGTTGCAGCATCACCACATGCAGCAGTGGGAATGTGCTGTGGAATGACCAGTTGATCATATGGAATGATGCTCGATGGCACAGCTTCACACACAAACACCCCTGTCTGTTGTTTGCATGTGGTTTGTGTGGCTGGCAACACAGCATCACCCATCAAAGTTTGGCTGCATGCTCAACCGGTGTGCCCAGTGCAACTGGATTTAGCACCACCAGCATTGCTGAGCCAACCGAAAAAGCTCCTTCTTGCGGCAGGTGGGTGGGTCAACAATCAGACAACTGGCTGGAGACATTGCGAGGTCTCTTGCAGTCCTCACCCAATGCTGGACTTGGGGAGGTGGGCCACCATCGCCTGTGGATGTTGTTGATTGTTGGCAAGTCAGTTTGAACCTTGGTTGGCCAGTCAATCATACATTTCGGCTGAGGAACTTGTGCAGAAAGGGGAGCAGGGTGGAAGGCAGAGATGCACTCTTCAGAATTCATTTCAGTGTACAGCTCCATGAGTAGCAGAGTTCGACCTCCATAATTCAGTCAATGTGGACAGTAGATCGTTGTGCAAAGCAATCAAGCGCATTGTCAACTGTGGTCTCTTGCGAATGTTCTTCCTGATAATTGGTCTATCAGCAATACTGCAGGTGGTGGAAAGAGCACACCAGGGCATTGGCAAAGTGCGAACACAGCCTTGTGATATCGATGTAGTGCTTTCGCAATACAGCAGGAGGTGGATGTCACCTATTGCATTCAACCATGTGCCTTGTACCCACATTTAAAGATGGCATTCATGAAATGCTAAGCTCCAGTGCAGCAAGGCCTTGGCTTTTCGATGCCATGGTGTCTTCCACCATTTGTAAGTTGCCAGTAATTGCAAGAAGCTCTTGTTTCGCATATCACGAAAATGACAATAAAATGTGACCACCATGTAGGCGTTGCTGCCACAGCAGGACAGGACCCACAGTCAGTATATGGTTCACAGTCAATCTATTGTTGAGTGGGTGGCCACAGGTGCGTTGTGTTGAAGCCAATCACAATGTGACCCACGACGCAGCCAACTAACACCTGTCACAACCAGCTAGCGGAGATGGTGCACTCTTTGGCCTCTGAAGCTGTAGCTCAAAGATAAGATATCATCCCACAGAATCTTGTAGTATTGGTTGCCTCCACATGAACCAAAGTTGTCTCCACATAGAAACAGATGGAGCTGCTTGCTTAATTGAGTGCAAGCTGCAAGACAAGAGTGTCACTGGTGAATCTGTTGTGGTGGACCATTTTCATCAATTTGAACTTTTCAGGGCGAGCTGGGGGCACCTCGATTAGAACCATAGAATTGCCACAAGCGACGCCCAACTGCCTGCGCACTGCACTCATGTATTAGGGGAAGTACAGGATTTGCTGTAGCTCACTGGTTCGGCTGTTTCTGCAACGTGCTGCAGTGTGGCTTGGACAAGCTGCGTACAAGCATTGATTTTGGACATCAAGAAGAGATATTCAGATCCCAACTGAAACTTGCTAAAGACCTGCAACGGCCAGTTTCGGTGCGGGATAGTCAAGGGCTGTGCTGTGGACGGTTGCGCTTCTCTTGGTTATGCCCATAGTGTTGTAGGCGGATGCAGCCGTTGCTGGATCCCTGCTGCCCAGCTGTGTTGGGCAGGCTTTATGGACACATCTCAATGAGAAGGGCAGATAGGAATATGATGAGATGCAACCCTGCGACATCCTGCCAGATGAACATCCACAAACCATTCCTTGTTGTCCAGTGCCTGGCACATTGCTGGTTGGCAGTTTCAGTGCACTGTAGCTGCCAAGAGTCGCAAGTGTTAAATGTTATGGGGCTGGGAGGTGCACCTTGGGCTTAGGATTCCATCTGATCGCCACGACGGGTTGCATTCATGCTGTATTTTCAAATAGGCTTGTTTGCAACAGGTTCACTGTGTTCGAGCATTTGGCGACCTCCTTGTGGACGTACAGACGATGGGCCCATTCCCAGCTGGTTTGGTACTCCATTCGTGGACAGGACCTCCTGACATGGTCATCCCACTCGCCCGTGTCGAGGTACGGGGTTAGGGGAGATTTGTTATCTGATACCTATTTTTCCCTGGATATGAACGTCATGAAGGGGTGATCAAGGTGCCACGAACGTCATGTACGTCACGAGGGCCCCAAATGCCTCAAACCCAAAAGCCGTGAAAATCCGGAAATGACCCTCATGACCTGCGTGTCCGGAACTGAAGGGTATTGGACATTTGTGGGCCAATGACCTGTGCACCAGCTGTCAATGCCAGTGCAACTGTTCCATATGTGCACTTTGTTCTGTTCAGCTATGCTCCAGTGTCTCTTGTCGACCTGTTGCCAAAGCAGCAGGTGCAATGGTCAGTACCCACCAACCGTGGCAATTGATCCGCCGGCAATCAGATAAAATGACCTGACTTGCCTAGTTTTCATGGGGGATGAAATTGGACGTGTGTTTTGCAGGGTGTGCATTTCTCACTATCTGGGTTCACAACGCGTGCGAATCCCAGCAAGCTAGCTCAGACTGTCAAGCAGGTGTGGTGTGACCTGATTCATACTGTGTGCTCGTTGCAATGCCGCTCCTAATTTGAATGAAAGTTTCAGCGGAAGTCTTGGAACAGACTCCGATGGTGGTTGGATGGCTGTGACTGGCGTAGATTCCATTGGACCGGCTGCTGCTGGAAACGGACGCTCCTGATGGGCTACCTAAGGTGCGCTCAATGTGCCCCACATGCATTCCCAAGATCATCAATTGGCCATTTGTGGGCACATCATCAGCACCCTGGGCTTTGTCAGGGAAACAAGCGGTTGTGTCCGAGTGCGATTGTCGTGCTGTGACACAAATCCGTGGGCAACGACGCTGTGCCGCTGCCCAATCTATTGTCTTGCATGGTGTGGATCGCGCTGGGAGGTCATAATGGGCAAAAATTGTGTGATCTTGTGACAACAGGAGCATCGTTTAAGTGGCTGTGGGCAGCAGGAGCAGCCCATCAATCGTCCAGCGAACATCCGGACAATATGCACAAGAGTTGCATCTGCCATGGGAGTCCATGAAGAGTTGATCGCAAACGCAGCACATCGCAATGCATTGAAGCTGTTCAGATTTGGTCAAAAAGCGTTGCATGCCAGTTCTTAAGTGGACGCTGCAAGCAATTTATATTTGCACAAGTCGGGATGCATCGTTGTGCATGCCCAGGCAGTCCTGCTTGCAGTTGTGTAAAATAGAGGAATGAACATGACTGAAGCGCTGAAAATAATGGAGCTGTGTTGGAGGTTTGGATCCCCTTTGGTTGCTGTTTAGCGATGGCCTGGATGACAACACCCAGAATCGCCACAGTCCACCGATGTCTCCCTTGGCGGACGTGTCAAAACACATCACATCGTGATGTCGTGTCCAATATATCTATTTGGGAGATGCGCACAGTGAAATGCTGTCCAATCATGGTATCTGCTAACCATCAGATCGATGCTGAAGTACCTGGTCCACATTCTGACTCGAGATGCTGCCAACACCGATGACAAGGCACAGGGACAACTTCTTCTGCTTGTGATCCGGAACAGAATACGCCAACTTTCCAGGCAATGATGTGCAGCACAAGTGTGGTAAGGTCGTCCAGCAACCTTCCTGAGCCAAGCAGCACTGCTTTACACCAGCTTGGCAAGCACAAACACCATGCTATACAGTAGGGGTCCCTATATAGCGCCCCCCTAATAGCGCCCCCGGCCCCCAATAGCGCCCCCTTTTCGGGCTTGTCACCATTTTTGTAGTACTTTATGCAGCTTTGCTGCACAGTGGGACCTTAAGCTACTATTGTGGACAACCAAACACACCCAAGAGAGGTGTTTGGAGGACGGATGGCGTGGTGGTCTTCTGTTTCAGTGAACTTGGCATATCGTGGATGGGCGGACGGCACGTCCGGTGCGTCCGCTATGAGGCCCGGGCCCGTGGCCTCCCCGGGAGGCCAAGGGAGGTGTGCGTTCCATGGTGGATCTCCATCTATGCACAGCGAAGCGGGCACTACCGCCTAGGCTCCTTGCAACCAGCAGAATGGAGGGATAGGGAGGGGTGCCCAATGCCGCGGATTCCATTCTTTCTCTCCCATCATCATTATACAAATTTATCTCCATATCCCTGCCGGAACCCTCATCGCTGCTAGGAGTTCCGTCTTCCATGAAATCCTGGCTGCAAGAGCTTCCATCATTGTAGTCGCCCTTATCGTCATCAACAAAGCTCTTGATCAGTTGCTTTGACATCACAACCGATCTGCGCACCGGGTGCTTTGATGCTCACAGAGGAATGAACATGACTGAAGCGCTGAAAATAATGGAGCTGTGTTGGAGGTTTGGATCCCCTTTGGTTGCTGTTTAGCGATGGCCTGGATGACAACACCCAGAATCGCCACAGTCCACCGATGTCTCCCTTGGCGGACGTGTCAAAACACATCACATCGTGATGTCGTGTCCAATATATCTATTTGGGAGATGCGCACAGTGAAATGCTGTCCAATCATGGTATCTGCTAACCATCAGATCGATGCTGAAGTACCTGGTCCACATTCTGACTCGAGATGCTGCCAACACCGATGACAAGGCACAGGGACAACTTCTTCTGCTTGTGATCCGGAACAGAATACGCCAACTTTCCAGGCAATGATGTGCAGCACAAGTGTGGTAAGGTCGTCCAGCAACCTTCCTGAGCCAAGCAGCACTGCTTCACACCAGCTTGGCAAGCACAAACACCATGCTATACATGTATTACTTAGTGCCATGCACAGGGCTGATTGACTCCCTAGGAATAGATTATGGTAACTGCAACAGAGGCATTTGTGAGGCATGTATGCGTTGTTGCCATTGCAATGAATTGCTGCTTTGTCTGCCAAGTCATCGAATGCCCATTTTCTTTCTGTTCAGCCGGGGTGTGGTCAATGGGCCACAGCAGCACTGGGGACATATGGGGCAAGGTTTTGGACAGCTGAGATTTAGTTCCAGTACCAATTGCACGTCATCATCTTCATCAAGTCCTGACTCTACAGCAAGAATGCATCAGCGGCAGTGCATTGCGTTGTTCAGAAACTGACCCCAGTGAGGTTATCAGTTGGTGACGCCCACAGCGAGTTTCTGGGGCGGCGGCAATTCGCATCAGAGGCTGTTAGACGGTCATTCATGCGTTGTACGCGGCCTCCTACGTCTTACTCCTACATCTTACGGCCTCCTACCTACCTCCTACATCAGCTTCGTGATCCATGCTCTCATCGCGCCTGCGTCCACCTCGAGCTTCCCAAATGCGAGCATCCCCGGTGAAACTAATCAGGAGCAGCCTAGGAACGAAATCGTGTGCTGTGAGCAGCCTTGTGACCCCCAACGCAAGACCAGCGGCATCACCCCTTGGCTGATGGGCACGGGGTCATCACACCCCGCATGCATGCAGTGGGCCCCCCCATTCTGCAATGCCCCTCCTTGAATTAAGGCCTCTGGCCTCAGGCCAAGGCGCCGTGGCGCCCTGGCGCCTCGGCAGCCTCTTGCGCACGACGGCGCCGGCAGCGCATGCCTCCAGAGCTGTCCACAGAGTTGCGTTGCGACAGTCTCGCCGTCGCCAGTCCTGCCTGATGGGCAGCGACGTCAAACCTGGCAAGGTGGAGTGCAGTGTTGCTGCCTGCCAGACTTGTGTCCAGTGCATGAGGGAGATCCCGTCGGTCAACGCATAAAATACCAACCTTTTGCCTCAGGAGGCAGCGCCGATCAGGGATGATGGCAAGGCTGGAGTCCTGTTTGTGTGCTTGGGTAAGCGATGCCAGTGCATGTCTGCAACGACAATGCCAAGTGCCTGGGGGAGGACGGCTGTCAAGGCACGTCTGCAACATGAATACCATGTGAGCGGCAGTGTTCAAAAGCCGCAAGGAGCTGGAGCCCCCACTCTTCCTATGTTGTTTGTCACATCCTTGCAGCTGATCAATGAAGCTTGTTCCGATGTCGCTATCTTCCAGCAATTCAAGGTGATGTTCAGGGTAACAACTATGAAGAATACCATATTAATCTCCACGGTAGTGGTGAAAATTCATGACTCGGTAAGAAAGAGGCAATTTGCATTATGTACTTATCCATTCTGTGAATGTGCTGTCAAATGGCAGCGTCCTTGTATCACCAAAAACAACGGTTGTGTTTTTCTCGTCACTGTGTGCTGATGTCAAGCTTCATGTTCAGCTCTGGATGTCTCAAAACCTCACAGCTTGCAAGGCCACTTTGGTTGTTTTGTGGGCAGGGAATCAGCTGCAAGTACCTGTTAGCTGCCCACCGAAAACATGTGCATTTTTCTGCCAGTCAACATTAGCTTTGTATGATTGGATTGCATACGGTACAATTGTCAATCACTGCAGCAAGGAGTTCCAACGCAATCACCATTGATGTCATAATCGAGATTCTCGGACACCAGGTGGATAAGCAGAATGTCGGGAGTGTTTCTTTGTCTCACCCCTCCCCTGCTACGCGTTGTTGCCTGCTAAATGCGATCCATATGCACTGGAGGATTGAACAAACCTGTTGTTCATGCAGCGAATGCATGTGTGGATATGTGTGGATGTGGTCTCAGTTGTAGAGTCGTGAGCAGCATACTTTGTCCATTCTGCTGGCTTGGAAGATCCTTGGAAGCAAGAGGGTTTTGGATATACATATGTATTGCACTAATCATTGTGCAGATTGTGCTTTCCCAGTGCCTATTTGGGCCATTGCCATGATTGTCAATGAGTCCTGTTTAGGTCTCAGAGTTGATTCTTGCTGTGCATGTATGAGCGACCCCTTCCAGCCCTTCATTGGCTCCCTGTCAGTTTTTCTTTACCTCTTGAGCTCCAAGAACCCACATGCACGGTCAACCCATTGAAGGTGAAGAAATCGCAAGCTCTCAGGCATGCTGTCCTCAGATCATCCCGTCTTGTGTGTGAGAACCAGCGCCTGGCTGAGCTACCAGCAGAAAGGACACACGAGACACACAGACAGGACCACAATGTGAAGTGCTTGATGGAAGCACATCCCCCTTGCCTAGAGCGCACCATGTGGCGCTGACAAGCCGATTGGTAAATGCGAATTCTCACTGCGCACATTATATGTTCCATGTTGCAGGGAACATTTGCAGGAGTCCAACTGCTGAAGCAGTGTTCCGGTCTACAGTGGAGAAGGCAGGGTTGCAAGACAAATTCATCATAGACTCCTGCGGCACAGGTGGTGGAAACCCAGAATGGTACCTGGACGGAGGCTGGTCGTATCATGAAGGGGACCCGGCGGATCCAAGAATGACTATTGCAGGTCGGTTTAAGCATTGCCATGCCTTGCGCGGCGTTAAAAGCAGCCTGTGACTTCATTTTTGCGGCTTTCTTTTGTTCCTCTTACAGAAAGGGGCACATGGACACCAGCGTGGTGGTGAATGACTGTGCAATTGTGGAATGACATGCGCCATCACACCGCTTGAAGTTGCAGCCCGCTTAAGAACTGGCGCTGCACAATTGCGTTCGAAAACCATGTGTCCAGCGAGTGCAACTGGCCGTAGAGATCATTTTGATGGATCAGCGGACAATAGCCGCAACCAGCATGCACAGATTGCTATCGTTGATCTCGCTGCGAGTCAGACGCCTGGATTCAAGTGTGAATACTTAAGGGGTAATAGCAGTGCAGTGGCTGATTATTGAGCACCTGCTGGCATCCTTTCTGCGCAGCTCAGAGAAGGGGCATCACGTTGACTTCCCGGTCGCGACCATTGAAGCCCGAGGATTTCCATCGCTTCGAGTACATTATTTGCATGGATGAGAAAAACGCAGACGACGTTCAAATTGCTGCGGACTACTGGTCTGCCAAGCACCCGATTCCTGCTGACCTCAGAAGCCGTGTGAAGATGATGACAACGTTTTGCAAGAAATTTAAACGAGATGCGGTTCCTGACCCCTACTTTGGCGGCAGCAAGGGTTTCGAAATCGTTCTGGATCTGTTGCAGGACTCGTGCGAGGGGCTGCTGAGTTATATAGAGAGAGAACGCTGATAATCGAAGCTTCTGTGTGTGCTCGTGCTCGCTGACTGTTGCTCTACCTGTTGATCATTGCTTCGCCGAAGGGAACATACTGGATTGCCGAATTTGTTGAGAAACCTCGACATCGAGCATACTGAGCGACAGCGTGTTTCGGCCACAAGAGCGGGTTGTCAGGACGACATGTTTCCAGATGTGACTTTTCTCCAGCCAAATGTGGCCTCAATTGGACAAGTACTCGCTAGTTGAAGGTACTGCGGGCCAACAAATTAGTGTTCGAGAGTTCGGTCCAAGCAGCGGCAACTATCGGCGCACCAAGCATCAATTGCAAGCAGGAAGTGCGTTGTTCTGTTAGAACGGGTTTTCGTCTCCGATACGATGTTGTTGCCAACAATTCTTGGCTCCCATTCTTGCACAACGTATGTACACACCATGCTCCAGCACATATGCACATGTCAAGCAAGTATCAGATGAGAAAAATACATGGCCAGGGTCCCACATCGTCCTGAAATGCAGTATCAATAACTCGAGAACGTTGAAATGGGATTCCATCACTAGTCCAGATCAACCCACCTCAACCCCACTACCAACTTAACTAGTTCGTTTCTTCCGTGGCCCGAATACAGTCTTGTCATCCCTTGTAGACTCATTCAATGTTGGGGAAGGAATTCATTCCCAGCGCTTCATCCAGCACCCAAAGCTAAACTGCCATGCACCCACCACCCAGCCCCCCAGCTGCCAATCAACCGGATGAACCACAAGGCCAACGCAAAGATTCTTCCCCGATGCACCTTGTTGCAAAAGCCAAAAGCCTAGCTGCAAAAGGCAGCCCAAGTCCAATACCATCGCCCTGCCCTTGCCCTTGTCTTCTCACACCCGCAATCAACACCCCAATCAGCACCAATGTGCGGCACCACTGCCTCACGGCAGCTCAACAGAACACAGCTTGCCAGCGAGGGCCCTTCGGTCAGTTTGCATATGACCAAGTCCCAAACTGTACAAAGCAGCAAAATCACATCCCAGTGACATTCAAGGGCGTTGTATTCCAACAGCGAGAATCAAGATACATGCACATTGTACAAATCATACTCCACACACAGGAGACTCCACTCCTGATAAGCACATAATGGCACCTAGCATGAAGTCAAGGAGACGCTCAGTTGCCCGTGGCTCATTGGTCAGATTACAAACAGTTCCTCTTTGAGTTTCGCTCCAGCACGCTTGACCTGCTGCCCCTTGCCCTGTGCCTGCGCATCTTCAACATCCCTGTTGCATCATGCCTGCTACCTGCAACAGGGTAGCTGCCATCCTGGTAGCTGCCATTATAGTCCGTCTGTGTTGGGCTGCCTGCACCAGCATTATAGCATACCAAAGCTCACCGATAGGGCAAGGCGTTGCCACAAATATTGCGACTAATTTCTTTGCACATTTGTCCCATTCCGCCCATCGACTTGTGGCCCTGCCTTCAGTTGCAGAAACATTTGTGTGTGCTGTGCAACAAGGGCAGAAGACGCAGTTGCCACTGCTGTTAACACAGTTATGCAATCCAATGTTTGAATTTGCCAGCATATTGTACTGCTAAAGAACAAGGATCATGATCAGTTCGTAGAACGTCTGTCAAAATATGGTGTGTGACGTGAACAGTAAATACAAGTTGCTATTCCCCATTCTGACCCAAGTCAGCTGCCACCACTCCGTCGCTACAACGTGCTCAGAGAAAGTACTTACCCCCGTCTTACACACGATACCACGTCACGTTGGAACTCGCCGCAAGGACCCAATAAACCAGTTCATAACCAACGCCTGGCAGTCCAGTGAGCAAGAACTGCACTCTCAACGGTTTGGATGGACCGGTTTGTACAGGAAGCACCGACAGCATGCCGAACAAACCAGTCACATCCTAGGCAAACATTAGAGCGGCGCCTGAAGCGCTCGTCCCAACGAAGCCTGGCCTCCCACCTAATGAATCCAACACATCGTCCTCCTCAAGATCCTGCGCCGATGGCATGGGCCCCTCCCCGCGCATGGCGGCCGCGAATTTGAGCAGCTTGCCCTTGAGGCTCGCGACGCGCCGCCTCAGGCATCCGTTCTGGTCGCTGGCCCGCCGCATGCTGTCCTCCATCTCGTCCAGCTGCTCCTCCAGCTGCTCCTTCTCCGTGGCCAGCTGCGACACCTGGTTCTCCAGATCCTGCAGGTGCGCCTGCTTGCGGTGCCGCGACCGCCGCGCCGACTCGCGGTTCGACAACATCCTGCCGCCAAACACCCCCCAAAGGCGTCAATCCCCACATCGAGCCCCAGCGAGCGGCAAGGACTTGGAAAACCCCTACCATCCAGGCGCCCCACCTGCGGACGCGCTTGGCCTCTTCCGGCGGCAGCTCCGGGTCGACCTCCTGGCACCCGTCCAGCGACCGCCCTCTGTTGACGCCCCTCGCCGGCGCCCTCCTCCCGTACTCTCCCCGCAGCCCCCCCGCCAGCTCTACAGGCCCCATGGCCCGTCCGTTGTCCGCGTCCACTTCCCACTTGGGCACCGCATCCGCCGCCAGGGGCCGGCGGCCGCCCAGGGCCCCGCCGTCCACGGGTATCGCGCCATCCGCCTTGGGCTGTTCGGGCGCATTCGGGTCACCCGGCAGGTTCAAGAGGCACATGAACTCGGCGGATGAGCCAGACCCGTGGGCCGGCCGACCGCCGGGGAACAGGCCGCCCCGCGGGGCGTCCTCCACGCCGTCCGCCCGCGGCGTGTCGCCTGGCGAGCTCTCCAGGCCGTCCATGCTGCTGCCGCCGCCGAACCGGGGCGAGGAGGGGATGCTCTGGAAGCTGAGGTCGTCGGAGGGCTGGTCGGCCAGCCGGAGCTCGTCGGGCTCCTCGGTGCCCGGCTCCAGGATGTGGCTGGCGTAGGGGTCCCCTGGGCGCACAGGGGAAAGGAACCTCACGGGCGTCCAAGACCTGCCTCTCGTACCGGACGCCAACGGGCGCGCTCGCAAGCGCGTCGCGGGTGTTTGGAGTCGTGTGGGCGCCTTGGGGGGGCAGGAACGGGCGGGGGGGAGGGGGGGGGGTGGCCGCAAGTGACGCCTCGCACCTTTCACATCGAAGGTCCACAGGCAGGGGTAGGAGGGCGACTTCACGAGCATGCCGTCCTCCTGCCCCAGGTCCACGCCGCTGGGCACCCGCAGGTGGCCCAGGCAGGGCCCCGCGTCGTAATCCTCGTGGGAGGTCAGCGGCGCGATGTCCTCCAGGGGCGGCAGGTCCAGAACGTCGCCCACGCCGGTCATCCCCAAGCCGCCATTGCCTCCAGCCATCGCCGCTCCGGTGCCTGCCGGCGGGGGCAAAAATGCGGCCTTTCAGCGCTGCGAGACGGCGAAACGTCGCTCCACGCCGACGGTTGGTCCGCGGTGCCGCCGTGCCGACAGTCCCCAGGGGCGACCGTGCCAGAACATTGAAAAGGGTGACCGCATGGGACAGCGGGTCCTCGCATCGTTGAAAATAATGGAAGGCACACGAACGACCGGGGAGGTCCGCTTATGGCTTGAGGCGCTTTGCCGCCGCGTTGCTGTTGTGGAAATAAGGCACCCGCCGGAAATTCTCCTTTGGGTGTCCAGGATACGCCCAGCGCTTGCGCCGCCCAGCGCCCCTCACTCACTGCGAGGCTGAACGAAATGCTCGCAGCGGGCGCTCCCGCTTGCCACCGCACGCCTTTCCGCCACAAGGGAAGGCCACGCTCGCACGCTGTGCACATTCTCTACGACACGAAAAATGCGCAGGCCGCCTGCGGGTTGTCGGAAGAAAGCGGCCGGGGTAGGGGGGAGGCGGCCCGCGTCCTCTGCCTACCTCCCCGCTCCTCTCCCGCCGCCGGGTCGGGCAGCTCCGCACCAGCGCCCCGCGGCATGGCCCTCCCCGGCCCTCACTCTTTCCTTCCACCACGGCGGCCACCGTCGCGAACATCCCACAGGCCACGCCGCTTCCTACCCACAACCCCACGCAACCCGGATGTCGCCGTACGCCCCGCCGCCCGCGGCTCCGAGCTCCGATCGCGCGCCGCGGGGGCCGCGGGGACCATCGGCACGGCGAGTCCCGCCCGGCACGCCGGGCGGCGATTCATGGTCGCCACGCCGGGCGGGGGGCAGCCCGCGTACATCGCCCTCCGCCGCCCTACCTTGTGCGCTTCTCCCCTGGACTCCGTGCCGTCCCGTCCACAGTCCTCGTCGGTGGGCTGCCCGCAGCCTTGGGCTTCTCCGCGCCGCGACCTGTGCTCCCACGAAGCAGGAACCGCTCGGGCAGGCCGCCTCGGGAGAATTTGAAAGAGCGGGCGGCGATGCGGGCCTGGTGGGGAAGGGCTGGTGGGTGCGAAAAGCGGCACTGCCGCCGGCGGCAGGGGCCGTACTGGATCTGCGGGGCAGGTACGCGGGGGGGCGAGTCACGCTGGTGATGGGCGTATCCCGGTACTGCCGGGAAGCACATACGATCTCACCTTGCCCCCCAGGCCGCCACGGGACGCCCTTTTGCGTCAGCGCGGGGAAGATGCCGCGCGGTGTCACCCACGCGTCTCCACGTGGCCGCACATCCAGAGCCACGTGGTTGCCGGATTGCCTTTCCCGGCGCTGCGCGGCTGGTTCCCTGCTGGTTCGCCGGCCGGGGAGCCGGGACCAACCAGGGTTAAATTTGGCGTGACGCCTTCCCGCGTCACGCGGATTCGCCTAAAACCCCCACCTAAACTCGACTTGAAAGGCCCCGTCCACAGAGAAGGCATCACGCCAGAACAGGACGATGGGCAAGGGCAAAGCAGAGAGTATCCCCCACTGTGTGCGCTGCAGGCGGCCCGGGAATCGGATCAAAGTTGATGGCAAGGTTGTGAATTGGTGAATATGGGTGGCGCCAGGCATCGTGTAGGGTGACAACACCCTCCTTTGTTTAGAGCAGCTGTCCCCTTGGCGGTATTGGACCTGGTTTGTCGGCAGCCTTCCATTTGAGGGGACCCCAACGAATGCAGCTTGTCTTGTTTTGCCCCCACTGGCATGGTCTGAAGATTAACCCCCAGTCGTGCGTCATGTGAAGTACACCGTATTTGGATGAAGTACCTTGGTTCAAGTCACGAAGCATAGAACATGCTGAATTGACAGAGTCTGATTTATTGCACAGTGACAAGCTTTCATATAAGCTAGTTAGGGACTGTGACGTGTCGATTTCGTCGCACTATGTCCATTTCGGGGCATGCTTCGAGGCCAATTCGCGAGAAGTGTGTGTGTAGCATGGGGTGGGTGAGAAAGGGGAGAACGCTGCGAAGTTGTGTAATCGGTGCGTAATCGACACAAGCCAAGAAGATGCTGGCCAGTGGCGAACAATTGGTGACTTTTCGAAACCAGCCTCAAGCGTTCAATCTTCACAGAGGGGCCTCAAGTGTATCAGTTGACAGCCTACAGGACGGCCACATTTGTTGCCATCACGTCCAGTCGCCCATTTCCAACCCTCACACATCACTGCAGAGTAGGTTGTTTGCCACCCATCAAGATGTTTTCACCTGCCACACGTGTCAACACCCAGTCTTCTGTGCTGAAATATTGCATCACGCCATTGGGCAACATGGCTGAGTTATGCCAGCATTGATGTGTGGGTTGACGCCAAGAGCGAAGGGAAGAGGAGGGGGGAACTCTCTGAGCGCACCACCATCGATACAGTGTGGTCCCTTACTCATTTGGCACGATCGGCATTTGCACAGGCGTTACAAATGAGCTCACTGTAGATATGGGCCGAGCGCGCCACCATAGCAGCTGCATACTAAGAGTTCTAATGTTTCATTCTGGTACTACAGGAAGTTCTTGCGTATGGACAAATGTGAAGTGCGTCAATCCCAACGATATCACAGACGTGACAACATGTCGATTGCCATGAAAAGGAACGAAACAAGATGTTCACCAACAAAACAGCTAACGTGCTGGGAAAGCGCTGCCAAGAATGTGGCAGAAATTGACAGCTGCCTATCAGCTAGCACATTGGCTGCATTTTGTGTGCGGCCTGTTCCCCTGTGTTCAGAAAACAAATCATGTTTGCATTCCTGGAACATCTAGCAGTTGCTGCATTGGCCTTCTCAAAAGTGGACTCACCCCACAATAAAAGGTGAAGTGCCCAAATCGCAACAGTGTTGACAGCAGCAAGCGCATCATTCATCCGAACAGCAGCAAATCCACCGTTTGTTCTGCAATTTGCCTGTCATTGATCAAGTATTGCTCTTGCTGTCCACTGATACGTGCCCAGCCTTGTGCCCTCCACCATCTGACGCGTGTCCCCTTCGTCAGATTCCAGCACCTGCATGTTCCATGCACAAACATTCTTGCTCCTGAAGCTGCAGAGCCCATTGTTTCTCTGCGCACATCCTTGAGTCCAGCATACCACAGGATATTCAACCCTTCCACATCGCAACGTAACATTTGACCTCTTTTGTGGAGCAATAATAAAGAACGCAACGCTGCCACAAATGATGTAGAACAGCCAATAAAGTAACACTCTGGTTGGCTTCAGGAGGAGCTGGGTTTGCTACAAACTCCAGTGCTGTTGTGAGCACTCTGCAAATAACAGCCGCCTGGAAGTAGCCCTGGCAGCACTGATGCCACATGGCCATGAAAACGCACAGTTGCAGTGATGGTTGCCTTCGATGAGTGCTGGCTAAGAGCCTGGAGATGATCTCCTTTAAAACAGGAGCAGCAACATTACGCAGATTCACTGGCAGCGAACAGATCATGGCCCAGCTGATGAGGATACTTGCCTTATCGATTAGTCCATAATCCACAGCGCTGTAGGGATTAAAATACTTGGGCCTCCGGATATCACGTTCAATAACCTCTTCGGTTTTCCCAGTGTGGGTCGCCAAGATGTTTACCTTCTCAACAGGACACCAGCACTTGAGCAACAGCAGACAGGGACTGCACGCAATAGGTACCAACACAACCGAAACCGAAGACTGCACCGCTCACAGCTGGGATTCCTGACTGTGGTAAGATCAGTACACCTCAGCACAGTGAAAGGTGCCTCATCTGCTCAGCGTGTGCAGCAAAAAACAAAACAACAAAACTCTTCCAGATCACAACAAGACACCAGGCCATCGCCAAGGACAGGCATGCAGACAGCAAATGCTGTCACAACTGATCTGCACCAGCCCAACACAACCATGACTCAAGCAGGCTTTCCAGCCTTTGGGAATTTCCATAGATGCAACAATGAGACAGTTTCTTTGGCAGCTAAATGATCGCAAGGGCTGCCGACACAGACAATGCCTGAACGCCATAAACAATGCTTGCTGCAATGCACACATCTGGTGGGATCAGCAAAATATCCCAGTGATACAAAGAACGGTCAGCACAATGCCGATTCCCTCATGGCAACATTGCTAATACAGTATTGTTGCAAGAGAAAGATTCATTCCATTATATACAAGGTCAGAATCATTTCACAACTCTTCCTCAACTAAGTGGTGCATGTGGGATCAAATAACATCCAGAAAGGCAAGCATTGCACAGACAACACTGCAGCAACGCCACAGCAGCATTGTGAAAATTTGCCCCCCTAGCTACAGCAGGTTCAGAAACAAGATAGCATGAGCACCAGTGCAGTGCACAAGCAGGGAGCACATTACAAGACGACGGGGCAAATGCTGTTACAGCGCTATGGTTGAAGTGAAGCATTCCATAATGTCATCTTTGCTGGTGATGCTGTCATGTGCACCAGCAGTCCAGGTAGTGTTGGCACTTACAGATGTGTGTTAGTGTTGATAGCCTGCCTAAAGTTTGCTGAAAACGCCAGGTTGGGAACTGCAAAGGAAATGTCCGGCACAATGACAATTGTGGCTGATGCTGTGCATTTGTTGGAGCCCAGAACTCCATGGATGACAAGGGTTGCGCTGTAGACAGAACAGTTGAAAATGAGGTTCAAAATGAGAGACGCTCATGATAATAGGGCAACCAAAGGATGTACTGCTGAGCAACAGCGAACTCCCAGGACATTGTGGCTGGCATCAAATGGATAATGCAGATGGCATGCAACAAGGGCCCAGCTCTCACCAGCTCTCCCTTTACCCTCCGAAGCTCATTTCGATAGATGTCAATGTCTGTTGCCTGCATCTGGGTAAACCGCTGCATGGGCTCTCGCAACATGATCGTTGCAGAGGGTAGAGACGCTCGATAGCCCTGTGCATGCAAGTTCCAGTCAACTGGTGCCAGGTCGTCATATAGTGATCAGCACACAACAGATGGTGCAGCAGCAGTTGGGCAACAAGAGCTGCTTCACAGTGCAGCACCACCAACAGCTCCACAAGCACACAAACTTTCAGGGCAATTCAGATAGATCGCGAAATGCAAGGTAGGTGGTGCAGAAAATTGCCGGAGGAAAGAACATTGTGACCTGACACTTGCGTATCACAAAGAAACCTATCCGCAGGTTGATGCGGATAAGCCAGCACAAAGATGTACTGGCCAAACACACCTTCTGCCCAGCTGCAAGGAGTACAGCTGCCTCTCCAAACGCAGTACCCACACAGATTGTGTAGATTGGAGGCTTCACATACTTCATGGTATCATAGATGGCAAGTGTTTCTGCTTCGTACCCCAATCTGTCACCAGCTTTCTGTTCCAGGCAGCATCGGCAATGTGCTGTCAGTTTACGGAGCCAAGAAACACATGGGCTCATCGCAGCAGAGCCCGCCAAATGAAACTGACAAAGCAACAAATATCGGGAAGCACAGCCCTTTTCCAGGGGAAGATGCAAAACTCTCCTGTGCGCACGATCAGCCAGCAGCACACAGATACAGCCACCAAGCAAGCTGTGCGATTCTCTAGCCATGTTCACATACAAATGCAGCTCTTTTACAACTGCCCATACAGGCCACCCAGTGTGCAGGTGCTCATGCTATTTGTGTTCCTTTTTCCAGTGCTTGTCCTGTTGGACTAAGAAACTTCCGCACCACCTTTCAGAGATGCAAAGGAGTCTCACATCTTGTTCAGGAAGGGCATACCCATTGCAAGACAAGCTCCTCCCTTTTGCCACTGCAGTTGTGTGATTATTGTCCAATTGATCACTGTTGTACAACATGCTGATGTGTGGCAAACCAGGCACGCTAGCGCTTCAGGATCCCCTGGGGACAACCACAGACATTTAGCTGGGTAACAGTACTGGCCACATCTGTGATATCTAGTGCAAAACTTTTCAGACTTACCGTGACGCCAGTTGAGTTGATGTACATAATAACAGGCGATTTTTCGTTGTCATACTGCAGATACAGCAACTCTGCCAGCATCAACTCTGTTACTTGAGGCACCAGTGTCATGCCCTGCAAGTAGCACAAAAGAGATCAATATATTGTCACTGCAAGTGGCTCATATCCATGTCTATGGATTGCTTAACAGAAATCAAGTCACCCTGTCTTTGCTAGGAGTGTCGTTGACATTCTCTTGGGGTGGTGATGTTTGAACGCGCATCACACAAATGGGTGTTCCAACTTGGCTGCCTACTGCCAAATGCAAAAAGCCGATGGATGTGCATACCCCTTCAGCAACTCACCAAATAAACAATGCGCTCCTTGAAAAGGTAGGAAGGCAAATCGGGGGGTGTCTGGTCTGTGGCATCCCCTTGGAGGGCCGGTATTACCTGCATCAGCGAACAGCATGCACCATTAAGTCACGCTGTCAGCCAATGAACAGCATTGTTACATCCAACATGGCCACAACAACCACGGGCCAAACACGTACCGCTTGAACGTTCGGATTGTGGGCGTTTGCTGAAGGCCGTGCCCGCCGTCTTTGGGGTGAGAAGGACATTCGCCGTCCCAACTGATGCCAGCATTTGTTGCCAGGCAGCGAAAGGTGCAGCCCAGTCGTTCGTGCACGCCACGTGGCCCTCCGCGAATAGCCGGCGGTGGTCTCCATGGGAAGCACAGGACACCGGGGGTGGCGACGGTAGCCGACGCAATCGGTGGCCCGCACCTGGGCGATGAGCAGCCGAGGCTAAAGTACAACAAAAAAGCTGCATTTTCAATCCGTTGCCCTGTTGGAGAAAGAAAGTCGCCCCCCTCTCACATGCAGCCCTTGGGTTGGTAGCGTTCCTGTTGGCCAGCGCCCCCAACGTGTTGGCGTGCCGCTCCTTGCCCCGGACCACACGGTGCAGCCATGGGGGAGACACGCGCGTTCTCGATGCCCGTTCTCATATGGTCCATTCTCTCCCCTATCCTCATCTCGATCTTCGTCTTCATGGTGCGCGTGGGCGACGAAGACAAGTTCATCGACTGGCACCACCTTCACAACATCTTTCGGCACATATCGCCCTACTACTGGACGTACATGGGCATCTCGGCGGCTGTGGGCCTCTCCATCGTGGGGGCTGCATGGTGCGCTCGTCCGTCCCGTGCTGACACGCGCAGATCGCTTTTCTCAAGGCACTCAAAGTCTGCTGTGGATACAAGTCCCGTTCGTGCCCGCTGCGCAGGGGCATCTTCATCACTGGCTCCAGTCTGGTGGGAGCTGCTGTGAGGACGCCCCGGATCACGTCCAAGAATCTGATCAGGTGTGATTGTTTGCCTGTTCGGTGACTGGCTGTCTGCTCTCGTTCCCCGTAGCAATCTCCACGGAGGCCCGTCCCCCTGGATATTGGGGCGCTGTCAGGCGCGGACATGTGGCCTGTGTCCACTGGAGGTAGTGGGATGCAACGCCGGGCGGCTGGGAGTCCGCTGCGTACAGTGTGGATGCCATTCTGTGGCACGATGCGCCTGTGGTTCCTTGCTGCCGCGCCGACAGCCGTGTCACTGGATCAAAAGCAGTCACACTCACCAACCGCTGCGCCTAGCGGAAATGCGGGATCTCTGATGCTTGTGCTGTGCGATCTGTGCAGCGTTATCTTTTGCGAAGCGGTTGCCATCTACGGATTGATTGTGGGGATTATCCTCGCAACCAAGGCCGAAAGTGTGTCCCCAGTTGAAGGGGCTAGATTCTCCAAACAGAACATGCATGCGGCCTACGCATTCTTCGGAGCTGGATTGACGACGGGGTTTGCCAATTTGGCATGCGGGTGAGCTCCCACTGGCTTAGAGAGCCTAGCGAGATATCCCAGACTTTCTCTGTCTCATGTGTGGCACACACACTGGGAAGATGTGCGGTATCCCCGAGCTGAGGCGAAATTCGGGCTGATTCTGGTTTGGCACGCACACGGCAGGATGATTATGCCAGTGCTACCCACACACAGCTCCAGTTTTATTGTCAGTGATGGTCAGACAACAAGGAGTGCAAGGGGATTAATGGCTTATGTGACACTGCATGTGAATGTGGACGCCTCCTCAACAAAGATGCACCCAATATAAAAGCTGTTTTGTGTAGCATGGGGACACGAGGTAAAGCCACCCGTTGGCTAGTGTTCAGACAGTTTTGCAGATGTTTATGCTGGTAGTATGGCGTTTGACCAACTGATCATATTTGGGAAAGAGTGAACATACCGACCCACGATCAAGCTGAAGGCAGCCTCATGGCCCAGAACCCCCAGGTCCCCATGACACTGTGGAGATTGAAAGAAGGCTGTGCAGATAGGCCACCACCCAAAAACCCACACTCAAAAGTGTGCCCTCAATGTACTGAAATCGCCAGGTCCTTCATGGATGTCAAAGAAGGAACTCAAGTCTCAAGGTCATGCATTCCGCGGACCTGCCATTGGAATACAAGACATGAGCTGCCTTGTCAGCCCATGCTCATCAAGCAAGGGACAATAGGGAAGATGCCTGCAAAGTAGTTTGTGTGTGCGGCCACTGCTGCAGACCTGAACAGCAGATCGCTGGCAGGATTAGTGTGTATCGCTGTGAATCACTGTGCATTGCCATTTGAGCACTGATGGCAGCCACAGGGCCTTGTATCAGGCCTTGTTCTTTTGCATGGGAATCTAGATGCACTGCATGGCAAGCCTTAGTGAGCACAGAACTACGTTGTACCGAATCCTAAGCTGCCATCTTCACTTTAAGCTGATGAGTGGTCACAAAGGCATATCTGTGAGCATTTGCCTTGATGATGTGAAGCCATTGGCTTGGCCAACATCAACCTTACACCCTTAATCAGCAAGCTGGGTTGCTGGTTTGTTGTTGATGCAAAGTCCGATGCTTTCCCTTGAGCTGGATGTGGTAGTTCTCCAGTGCAATACAGTGGCACTGGTCCCCAGTTTCCCAAAGGAGTGCTCATGGTCGTGTTTGATGGCTTGTTGCATAAGAGACGATGGGCCTCCTGCTGAAAGAAGCAGCCACCTTGAGTATGCACATATATTGCAGTTTGCAGGCTCAGGAATCTGTACCTTGTGGTTGGTGAATCACAGTTAATCGATGTTGTGGTGTGTCCTGCAGCCTCTGCGTGGGTGTGATTGGAAGCAGCGCAGCACTGTCTGATGCCCAAAACTCAACCCTTTTTGTCAAGATCCTTGTGATTGAGATCTTTGGAAGTGCATTGGGATTGTTTGGTGTCATTATTGGCATCATCATGGCCACAAATGCAGCTTTCGATGCTGAATGATTGGGCAGAAAGCCAACAGTCTAGGGTATGGATACTGTGTCGATTTTGCCTGAGGGTGCGCATCTTAGGCAGGGATTGTTCGCAGGCATTGGCTTTCCTAGGTCTGGCTGCATTTGGTGGTGGATGGGAACTGTAGCTATGAACGCTGTTGACCAGCTGCTCAGTGTGCCCAATGCCATACGGAGCTATTATTAGTCTGGATGGCAAGGGCACTGGGAGATACAGTACCCATCAGTGGTTGCTGGTTATTGGGTGAACTCGTTGCACAAGTGGCCGTAAGTCCCAAGAGGTGGATGGGACAGCGCACCACTATGTGTTGCAGTCAAGACCATACAGCTGTTCGCACTGAACTTCTTCAGCCTTGTGCTGTCTGTTCCTTGGTTGCCTTGGACTTGTAAAGGAGATATTGCCGGCCCTCTCGCTGGTATTGGCTTGGAGTCGTGCTCCCATTGGTGGATTAGTCTGCGTGAAATGTGTTCCGCGTGCTCCAGCCGCGCCCCCTCAACCATCAAACGAACGTTGAATCAGGCTGGATACGGAATACCCAGTGGACGCTCCACAGTATTGTTGGCGCAGGGCGGCTGTCGGACAGCAAAATCTCTCGATACTCCCCTTATGAAGACGCTCGTTGAAACATAGCACTTGGTTCCAAAGTCAGAAGTCACTAGTCCATGAATTCAGAAGAACAACTAGGCAGAGCCGCGCTTTCATGAACCACTCTGCAGCTCCGGGTCTCGCCGGCAAGTTGGCGCGAAGCAAAACAAGGTAGAGGGAAGAGCAAGGGGGAGCGCATCTGGCCCCCCGTACTAAGCCTGCCACTGCCAAGGGCGCCAAATTACTTATGCCCCTCCTTGAACGTCTTGGACATTCACTGACTCAAGGTGCTAGGTCGTCCGAAAACGAAGTCCAACGCCTGAACTTGCCATTCACATTTGGTTGTTGCCAATGTCTCCAACCCGAAGTGTGTAATCAGGGACGGTTCCTCGCACCGCACCAACGGGGAAAGAAGGGACACGAGATAATCACCCGGACCTTGCCCAGTCGGGGCAGAATCAGAAAAGGATTTACAGCCACTGTTTTTGTAGTACAACTTACTATCTCATGCGTTCCAGCGCGCTTGGCAGCTCCTCTTTTCTGGCCCTTCTGCCCCAACTACTATGTCATGCACTTCTATGCCAAGGCCCGGGAGCCTTCCGACCGCTGGCGTTCCTGGGGTCCCCACTCACTACCCAGCTCCCCTTACCATTCCTCTGCCGCCTCTACCAGGCCTCACACTGCTCCACCCTCAGAACTACTCAACCTAACACCCAACTGATCCCTACAATGGAATGGTCCTGTCCCCTGCGCACTACCCCGTGTGAGAACCACCGGCAAAATAAGAAGCTCATGGCTACCTTATTGCCTTGTTGTGCAGAAAATGAATGATGACGAGATAACGTCGGCGCATCCCAGTAATCCGCCTCCTCCTCCTCATATACTACAGAACGAGGCAGTGAGGTAGCCGTCAGCTGCCTATGTTGCCCGAGAAAGCAGCGTCCATGATCAATACACCCACCAATCCTCACCCCTAAAAAAAGTCTCACCCTTGGCGAACACCCATTAACGGGACAGTCACATTGTACCTCCCTCCCTTTAGATGATGCTGGGATCCACGCGGTGGACCAACGCTGCGCAGGTGTCGTTCACACGGGGACGCACTCACAAGTTTGAGCCAGTGCCATTAGCCGCGAGGCGTCAGGCGCAGAAGGGGCAGACTTACACTTTGGCGCATCCATTTATAGTACAAAAGATTCTCGTTCGTTTTTGCTTGCACCCAATCTGGCTCTTTCTGTCCGTACTGCTTTCCATTGCACTTCCCACCGAACCCCAGGAATACACCTAACCTCTCCACCCTGTCCCACACTTCCCGTCAACGCGCCCTACCCCGTAGTCTCCCTTAGCCGTCTCTATTTCTGTCCACCTAGCCGTACTAACTCGATGTCACCCGTAGCCCTGCTATACCCGGTATCCAAACTGCCCATTACTTCACTGTCGTTCCCTACTTCACCATTCCCCGACTGGCCGATCGATGTTCTGCCATTTCCCAGGCGCAAGACCCCCATTTCCTTACAACATCCATGATCAGCCATCAAGCCGCGCATGATTAGGCAGTTTTGGCACCGGCAGCACTGCCACCCACGCTCCACCGCCATCATCATCATCACCATGTTTTACAGACCAGGCAATGGGGCAGCCTCATTGCCAGGCATATATAGCCAGGCTGCCCAGTCACCTTGTCCCAGCGCCAAACACCCCCAGCGGTGCCGGGCCAGAGGCACGTCCTCAGCTTGCGGCTGCGCCGTGTTGTCGCGCGCGATGGCGGGACAGAGCGCGGGCGAAGACAACAGCCTCATAGGTTCTTTCGTGTCCTGGGGCAACGGATGGCTGGGCTACGCTCAGGACCAAATCAGCAGCCTGATTGGCTGCGATCAGCTGGAGGTCGTGAACCCCGAGGCCGAGGGCGCGGAGAGCGGGGCCGGCAACCTGAACCCGAGCGATGAGCGCCAGAAGTTGTGGTCCAACTTTCAGCAGTACATCGGGATGGACATCACGTCCCTGGTCACGGTGCCTGTGTGGATCATGGAGCCGTTCTCGGTGACCCAGAGGATGGCGGAAATAATGGAATACACGGACATCTTGGATAGGGCGGACGCGTGCGAGGACAGGCTGCGGCGCCTTGCCCTGGTCACCGCCTTCTGCGTGACGCCCTACGGCTCCTCTGACAGGCCGTGGAAGCCATTCAATCCCATCCTGGGGGAGACGTTCGAGCTGCGGTGCGGCAACGGTGTGCGCTTCCTCTCGGAGCAGGTTTCTCACCATCCGCCGATCGGTGCCGCCCACGCAGAGAACGAGCACTTTGTCTACGACATCGTCGCCGCCCCGAAGTCCAAATTTCTAGGCAACTCTGTGGAAATCTACCCGGAGGGGCGCACGAGAATAAGGCTGAAGAGGACGGGGGAGGTGTTCTCGCTGGTGCCGCCGACCTCCAAGGCGTGCAACGTCGTGGTGGGGGGCACTTGGATCGACTCGTTCGGAACACTGACCGTGGTGAACGTGGGCACTGGCGACAGGGCCGAGCTGGAGTTCACGCCCTGCGGTTGGTTCGGCGCCGGGCGCTACGAGTTCGGCGGGCACATCACGGACGCTAGCAGCGACAAAAAGGCCCTGCGGATGTTCGGAAAGTGGAACTCCCACTGCGACTTGGAGCCCGTGGCCGACGCCCCAGCGGAAGGCAGCGGCCAGACGCCGGCGGAGCGGCTGTGGACATGCGAGGAGAAGCCCGCGGGCGACCCCTACAGCCGCACGAATTTCTGCTTGAGGTGCAACACGTGGTCGGGGCCCGGCGAGCCCCTTGCTTCCGACGCGCGCCGGAGACCGGACATGGCGTTCCTGGACAAGGGGGACTCGTCGACGGCGGGCAGTTGGAAGTACGACCTGGAGGAGATGCAGAGGGCGGAGAAGCGGCAGAGGGAGGAGAGGGGGGACGGCTGGGCGCCAAGGTGGTTCAGGAAGGTGTCCGACGGGTACCCGGGGTGCAATGTTCACCCATGGGAGTATTCGCTGAAGGAGGTGCCGCACTGGGAGTGGACGGGGGAGTTTTATGGGAGGGAGCCTGCGGCGGATGTTGCCAAAGAGGGCGGCGTGCTGGGCCAGGGCTTCTGCCCGTGGCAGTATCCAGAAATGCATAAACAGAAGCAATGACGGGGAGCACCGCGCTCGGTGGAATTCATGAGTTGCAGCACCGTGACACCCAAGGACACCGATCAAGATTGACTGTGACATGCACTGACTATGGGCAACATCAGGGAACATGATTTGTTGATGCCGATGTGAAAGGACAGAACATCCTATGCCCCCAGTGCACGCAAATGCTGTTGAGACCTTCGCAGGCTGTAATTTCATCTTCTGCAATTTGGCAGACCAGAATGTGCACACTGCAAAATCAACATCGTGAGCCATTTGCAGATTGGCTGTGTTTCAGAGAGTGAACCAAGGGCGCTCCGCACAATCCTTTTATGTCCCTCTGCCATATTGTTGCCCCTATCCATGCAATCAAGAGCCTGTCTCAATGCCTCTGGACAACAGCTTCTATTGCCGCGGTGGAGTCAATTGTGAATGGCTCTCCCGCATGTGCCATGTGTATATGACCGCCCTTGTGTTTGGTTGGCAGTACGAAATTCTGCAATCACGTTGAACAATGTGGATATGCTGACTTCTACCCCATGGCCATCAGTGGCTGTGGCAAGCATTTTGTCTTTCTGGCTGCAAAGGGGCACAATGTGGCAGCTGCAAAGGATGAGCCTGTTGAGAACTGGACTGCACCGCCCTTTAAAGAGGTATGTTGAAAATTTTGACCAAGTCCAGTGGCCATAATTTGCAAGGGGATCATCAGCTCAAGAGAAATGAAAGCTGGCGCTTCCATCCAATCCTTTGGGCTCATTTACGAGTGTGGGAGTCAGAATGTAGGCATGGGCATCTAAACATCCTCCTGGCCCAAGACTGCAGCATTCTCCCCCAACCTGGGTGTTGTGATGTGGTTTCCTACCCAGTTCAATTCCTGGTACAAGTTCAGAGTCCAGATGTGTTTTGAACATTTCGGGTTGCTCTCAAACTGGACATCAAGTGACCCCTCAACTAACAGAATAGATGGCCTGCAACACAGCGAACCATCTTTGTAAGACGCCGCGCTTGGGGCTGCCTGTTGGTGCAGGGCCTGCGTGTTATTGCAGGTTCATGTGTTGGAATGTGTGTGTTGATTGTTGGTGAGCGGCAAAACACAGCCCTTGCATGCACAACGCAAATGCCCAGTGAGGCTCAGCCTGCACACTCTACAGCATACAATCGTCACAAACGCCGAAGCTCACGTGGCTGGGCGGAAGGTGGCCACCCTCAATATGTTGCGCTCATCGCATTTGGATGACTAGGAAAGTCCAAAATGTAGCACACCCGACATGACTGAC